TTTATACTCATTTCGGTCTATTTTATCTTTTCAAACACTCCAACGTTTAATGGCCTAGCTCATCCAATGAGTAAAAGGCGTATTTTTTTTATTATACCGCATCCGAATCGCCAGTGATAATAGTGTTTAATATAAACAGCACTTGGCAGCTCTGCTTCAGACACCATTTGGTGCTCGCTCCAAAAACAGCGTGAATTGCGTCTCCGAAATGAACTTCTTCGGTCACCATCCCATTTCATTGTAGGAAAACTCTGTTACAGTCCTTGCCTTACCTTAATTGACATAAGTTGACTAAATTCTTATACAAAGATTACTGATAAAGTCAAAAAATACTTAATTCAAAAACTAGTTCATATTTATCATTAAGCAGATTTTCCGGTTCGTTTGGCTTCAAAGCCAGACCAATTTTTAAAAATCAAAATGATGTAACCTAAGCAGTGTTATATCCTCTTGCGGCTTATAAACTGACGTCGGCTTGTAAAAGTGTACCTTAGCCAAAGTACCTTGGAACTTTGCTGATTTTTATATTCTCCTTATACTGATTCGAGTTCCATCAAGCTATTCTTTTATCTCAACCTTTCTCTAAAGATTGTATGTTCTCCATCCTTATAAACAGCGTTAGATGTTTGATTTATTTGTATGACCAGCTCTCTTCTGTCACCGTGAGTCGCGGCGAGCCTATCTCATGGATCCGAACACGCAGTGTCGGTCTAGGCGAACAATTGCCATTCGAACTTGCAGTGGATCATGTAGCCTTGGATTGTCATTGGGAGGCTTTTCACCATCGTTTAGGCCCAAAACGGCAAGGACCCGGGTTCTTCGACGAACATCTCTTGCGTTTCGGCGAGACGAATCCAGTCCCAGAATTTCTTCTGTCAATCTGCAACGAGGAATGGACTATTCTAGACCCAGCATGGCGGCTGCCTCAGAGCCTAATGAGCCGCTGATGGTAAGGTCTGAACTTCACCTGAACAGCCAGTCGCGAGGAGAACGGAGCCGCCGCGGACGTCTTCAGAGATCTTGGCAAAGAATGCTGAACGACGCTCCAACGGAGTCGCCAGTTCACGCAGATGCCCCCTCTGAGTTAAATCCAGAAGCCACCCAGGCCGTCGTGGAAGTCAGCTGTTGCCTACCGTCCAAGTTCCGGCGCAGGCGAATATGGTTCGTCTGCGAAGACGGTAGGGTCTACGAGAAATCGGTTCAACTTATACGTCGTTGTTCATGTGGTTCATGTAGCCAGGATCAAGCAGAATATATCACTCCTGGTGGGATATGATTTGGCATGGTTACTGAGTGACAACGCCTAAAAACCCTGCTCATTCTCATATCCTATTTTCATCCCACTTATCGCCAGCCTCATTTCTTTTTTTATTGAAAAATCTTCTCCTGTTCCTCCATTTCATTCTTTTATACACTTATTTTGAGTCTATCTAACATAACTCTTCTTCAAGTCACATTTGAATTACCTTTAAGGAAAGCAATTTCAATAATAACACAAGTATAGGAACTCAATTATGCATCTCATTCATTTTTTTACCTGAAATAAGCATAACCTACTCACAAAAAGGACGAAGATAGCATGAAATGAGAAGCTACACTGCTATTACATTTGCCGAGTTCAAAGTTGTGGAGCCGGTACGCGGACAACTCTGACTTGCCGAATAAACTTTAAAATTATGCAGAAATCATTTATTCGCATCATAACAGTTTCGAAAGCCCCACATTTTCATGGTTATATAACTGAGATTTTAAAGAGATAAGCAAACGTGTGTCTTTTTTATTCTTTATATCTTTCCATATTCACGAAATTTTCAGGCAGCAACATACTCCGTCTGAGTGATGCAGCGAAGGCATTTCTTTGTATCGTACCTCATTCGAATATTACTACACAGCATTCTTTTCATGATTAGATAATCTTAACTAAGCCACGAGTATACTCATCGAGTTAGATCGATTCGTTTAGCCTTTCTCATTATTTTCATATGATATTTAACTACCTCATTTGTGATCAATTTATGTTCATTTGTTAAGTGTTCTTCTCTCGCTCGTCATGCTTAGACATACAAAAGTGATTTACCATTCAACCGAATACTTTACATTGCCACAAGACGGCGTAGGCACTTTCTTACGTTTAGGCTTTACTCCTACTGTTTAGACAAATGAGTAATAAGTCTTTTTTGATGCATATTTTACTACATCCATTGAGTGCATGCGAAAGTACAGTATAAGCATTTTCTTTGTCATTGCATAGGCATGCACATGCCATGTGCAAACATTGGAAGGCATTTCAACTCAACTAATGGCTTTATTTGACTTTGCTTTCATTCTGTCTAGAGTTAATTCAACGCTGGCTGAATGTTTGAATCATGAAAGAAGCTTATTTGTACATTATGACGATTTTTTGTTGTATTACACAGGAAGAAAACCTTTTTGTTCCTAAAACTCTCCTTTTACTTAGCGACCAGTTCAGTATACAAACAGGCTCCAGTGCCTTGGGCTACTAGATTTTGTTACTCAAACTATAGATAGTATACCATAATAATCGATATTATACTACTATTGTCTAAATATAGTTTAAGTATGGAACACGATAAGAATGTTCTGGGTGGAAATCTTCCATTAAATATTCATTTATCAAATAGGCGCTTAAAACTTCTGCCAAAATGGTATGACGAACAAAGCTTGGAGGATCGCTGAGAGATTCTTTTACGAGAGCCTGCTTTGTAATTCGCGTTGTGCTGCCTCGGAGATAAGGCCATTTTATTCGGTCAAATCCATGAATAATTTGTTTTCTCAGTGTCATGGCAACCCTCAGTCGCCAGCTCATAGACCACCTTTCTTCGTGTACACTCACATCATCTAATAAGGCCCGCAAAGTAAAAGGCTTTTTTATTTTAGTTTGGGTTAGTGTACATGTAAAAATTTTGCAATGAACTTGTTTTCCCCCCTAGGATTCCAGAGAATAGAGGAAGAGTCTAGAGCTCTTAGCAATGGGTTTCGAAGCAACTATTCGTAGCTGCACTTTATTTCCCTACGCTGTAAACTAGTGCGCATAAATGTTTGCTAATGCTGGGCATAACTATGGATAAAATAGCTTATTGATTGACGAAATAAATCTAAACCTCTTAACAGTTTATACTTGGCTATTTGGAGTTTCATTTTTCTTAAGCCATATGTGGGCTCTCGTTGAGACTGTAAGTGCATCAATAGTACAATGAGAGCACAGAGTATTTGCTCTTTAGAGCACTGGAGCTAGGACGATAGTGTAAATTTACTGAAATTTTCGTGATTTGAGGAATCAAAAAGGGGCTATTGAAGACAACTAGGTAAGGCTGAAATCAATACTTTTAGTGGAATTCATGTCAAGTTCTAATCAGAATCCCTGGTCTAATTAAAATCTTCTTTGTATTCCATCTTAAGTAGTCCAAATTAGCTAAATAATATTTATGTCAACTTTATGTGGATTAAAACTCGATTTACTATAGGTGGTTTAAAAGGGTCGTTGGTTTTCCCGCAATCAAATACCGTTGGATTTCACAAATCCTTGTCGCATAAAGGGCTTTCTCATCCAGGATGGACGGCACTTCTGACCTCTATTTGGGTTCCAAAATAATAAAAATATCTTGTAGGAAGCAGGGTAATGTGGATCTTAATGGAAACGTAAAGCTTACTCATATAACTTTGGGAAAATTCAGCTACCAGTCTTTCATAACCTTAAATTAAATGGAGTGAATACAGTTCTTAGTTAGAATAGAATTGTTGTCGGGTTAGTAAAGCTTTATTTGTCATCCAAATCGAAGGCATTACTTTAAACTAAGCGAATATATTTAAAAACTTTCGTTTTTTAAGGTAATTACCAGTCCTTATGTCACCTTAATCGGCTTGGGTAACTTAAGTAATTATTTAAGATCTCCACATAGTTTAAAGAACCCATCTTTTGATATAATATTTTTCACGTGAGCCCATCTGATTTTTATCAAATTGACGACATAATCTTAGGGCCTCTTTCACAATGGGTTTCGACCCTTTTGAGAAATCAATCAATCCTTTCAAGTCACCTATACCATTAACAGCTCGGATCTAGCCAGATGTAGCAGCATTTGTACTTGTACAAATGGGTTAATCAAGTTTCCGAGTAAGACACAAAAACTAGCTAAGATGGGTCCTTCTTGAGGTGATTAGATTTGAGCTAATTTGATTATCTTGAAACACGTACTTCTATTAAACCACACGAGTTATAATCGTCTGAGTTAAGCAATTTTGAAATGAAGTACTAAAAAAAGTTAATCATTCTTTGCTCCCCAAACTATATGCGCACAGACCTACTCAACTCTATGTGAGCAATGTTGATTAAACAAATATGGCTAGACGCAAAAAAAACGGCTCACGGTGACGAAGTCAAGGCCAGGCCTTTTTGCACTTTCTACTTCTCTCCATCAAATGCATCGCGCTTGATTTTGAAGCTTAATGTAGGCTCTTGTGATTCTTTCATACCACCTGAAACATATTGTATTGGAAGATGCGGAAGCTTTAAGCTCAACTCGGATTCCCTTACAATTCAGACTGTCTCAGTGAGGTTGCATTAAAAATGGAATTCCCAGTGAGATAATCTGAATTATATGGGAAGCTGAAAGGGTCTGCACTCTATATTTCAGTAGCTTTGATAATGAAATTTC